GCGCGTCGGTGTGAAAATAAACAGCGACCTGGAAGGCTCTGTGAAAATGAGATGCATTGTAAAGCAAATTAATTTCACTAGCAAATAAAAATTTACAATGCCTGCAGGAGTTTAGCTTTCAAACAACAATGGAAATGGGTTATTATGAGTCTATCAGTCAAAGAACATCTTTTTAAACTAACGGGAATAACCAAACCCCTTCTTTCTCTCCTCTTTTAACAGGGTGGTACTGGGGCAACATGACTGTTGCTGAAGCCAAAGAGAGATTACAGGATGCCCCGGAAGGGACCTTCTTGGTTAGGGATAGTTCACACTCAGAGTATCTACTGACTATTTCGGTAAAAACATCAGCGGGACCAACCAATCTACGTATAGAATATCAAGATGGCAAGTTTAGACTGGACTCTATCACTTGTGTCAGGTCTAGACTTAAACAGTTCAACAGTGTTGTGCATTTGATTGAGTACTATGTTCTTATGTGTAAGGACAGAACCGAAACACCTTCAAATGGAACAGTTCATCTTTACTTGAACAAACCTCTCTACACATCCGCTCCATCTCTGCAACACCGCTGTAGAATAACTATAAACAAATGTACAAATCAGATCTGGGAGCTGCCATTACCAACAAGACTAAAAGAATACTTGAAAGAGTACCAATACCAGGTATAAATATCTTTTCTACATGCCTCTAATGTTGAGTAACTTTTGAATGCAATTCTTAAAATCAACCAAAGAACTGAGTAACTAGTTTTACAACTCGGCATGGAATTCACAATCAAAACAGTGGCAGTTCTGGGGGAACGGTTTTTATTTCAGATGCAACAAAGGGAGACTTTATGTAGAATAATCCCAGCTTGCATCCTCGGGGGTTTGACAAGGTGGCACGCTATTCTTACGAGGAGAGAGAAGCCAGGAATCTGACCAGATTGTGTTGCTTTGTTAATGGCATAAAATACCGCACTGACTATCGAATGCTAACTGAAGCAGTGGGACTGGGAGAGACTGCAGAAGTTGTCAGAGATGTATGAGAGTGCATGTGTCTCAGTTGTCTGATTCCAAGATTAATTTGGTGCTGGTGTTCGCATAATCCTGAAAGCTTAACTGGATCACACTGTGAAAATCATGCCAAAGTTATGCAACTAATCAAATCCAGTAAAAAAAAGTGATCATTTATTCAGTTTTTATTGAACTATAATTCTTGTGCTTTTCTGCAAGCGAAGGAGTACTCTAAGTAATCAGTTTAAAACATTGTTTTTCAGTTTTCCAAAAGCTGACCTTAGGGAGAAATGCCACATCTTTCATAGGAACCCAGTATGTTGCCGATTATACCAGATTGGTATCCCAGAGTCTTTGTTAACATGTTAACATCTTCCCAGTGGTGATATATCCATGTTATTACTATTAAGCCTCTTTTGGTTGAGGCTTTAGAACTGTACACTGCAGACTTGCAGTTGCTGAGTTCCAATGTCAAAACATGGATATCAGCAGTTACCGCTGTCTTCTACAGTGTAGAATGTTTTCTTCAGCTTGTTTCCCAAAATGTGGGGAAATATGGATTTGGGGTTTTTTTGAGGGGGTTGGGTTTTTTTTTTTCTTCTTTTTTTTTCTTTTTCTTTTTTTTCTTCTAATTCACCATTGTAGCTATCGGACTTTTACTCAATAAAGTAAATCAAATTGCACAACAGTCTCCCAATCTTTGTATGTATGGATTTGCTACTATTTGGGAAATAGTGATCTTACGAACCTGTATCATTTCCCAACTAATACTCAAATGAATGCACACATATTGGTGAGGATGAATACGCCTGCTTTGCCTTTGTGGTGCTGCTCAAAGGTATAGCTGGATTTTATGTTCAGGTTAGTGGCTTAGAGGCTGCCTGCTGAATTCCCATAGTTAGGAATTAGCACAGGACGTAGCTTTTTCTGTTCCAGCAGTCTTGCAAATGGAAAGAAGAGACTAAGACCCTCAGTACCTTGTCATCAGTGTAAATGTAAAGTATTTAATAGAAGAAATATCCAGGGTGAGAGTAATAGGAGAGCAGTAAAGACAGAAACAAGAACATAGATTAATCCTCAGTCAACAATTTCATAGTTTTAACTCTTTAAAACTTTCCCTAGCTTACTTTTTAATTAAAGCAAATAGACCTGTGTTTGAACAAGAAGGGTTGTCAGGACTTGCTGTAATCTGGCCCTGCCCAGGCTGAAATTGAAACAGCATAAAAAAATCTTGTTTTCCTTGTGACTTAATTGCACTGTAGTATTGTCAAGATGCTATGTCTCTTCTCATAAACTCTGGGACACTGACTGGTTTATTTTGTTGCACCTAAACTCCCAGTGTTATGCACTTAGTTTCATCATTAACATGCTGGCAGAAATTAGTAGTATGGCTGTTGAGACAAGGAAGACACCAAGAACCCGATGCAGAGGGGATGGTCCTTTGGTATGGCAAATACTTGATATGTTGTTGTTCTCCCTGTGGAAAAGGTGGCTTTTCTCCCTCCTCCTCCACAGCTTCTCCCCGTTTTTAATGCAAGCTTTAGAATATGAATGGGGGGAGTTTTCTCCTGAAAAAACCAAAACAAAACAACAGCTTGTGTTATGTAAGATTTTCCCTATGCCCTGCCAAAATGTACCAGATTGTTGTAAGTTTTTCATATAACATAGTGTCCACCCTCCAGTTCCCATCCCAGAAGAGCTCTTGTATTCCAGGTGTGCCATAATCACACGGCTCTTCTGTGCTTCTCATCTGTCTTGCTAGGATCTGCCGCTCTGAAGCTGAGGAGCTCTGCCTCTAAGCAGTGCCTGTGAAAGAACTGTATTCCTGGGAACAATTTTTATTCTGATTAATCAGTTTTCTTACAGTTCTTGTCTAGCTCTACCTTGAGATGAGATAGCTGCTGTATGGAATAACTTCTGTTACAGTAAGAAACACTCTCATCTGCTGCTATGTTAACCATCTACTACTGGGCATTTTTAGCCAAGGTGATACTTAGCTGCAATACACTTGGGGTCTCGGTGGTGATGCATTATACTAAAGTCCTTTAAAATAAGTTCCCTGCAGGCTAGCCCCTGGCCTGGGGATTTAAAATAATGAATACCAATGCTGGAACAAGCAGAATGAGCAGATAAGAGCTTTGGGGTGCAATGAGGCAGTTGTGTTGTACATATAAGAAATTATTTATGGCTCGTGCTGGCAGCCTACTGTAAGCGGTCAGAGGCCAGGCATACCCCAGGGCAGAGCCGAGCTCTGAGAAACAACACGGAGCAGATGCAGGGCAGCTCACTGGGCTTTTTGTTAGCGGTTCTCCAAAGCACATGGGCAAGCAGCAGGCTGAAGACAAGGAGGGCTAGTAACGTGAATGGTAGTGATTCTTGTAAATTATCAGGAGTAGTTGCTGTGATGTGGAATCAAGTCACCAAACGTGAGGATACTGACTCATACTTCATATAATTCATATTAGTTACTGTGAGGAAAAGTAGGGTCTGTAGCTGTGGTGTGCTCAAAGCAGTGAACAATATTTTGAACAGACTGGAGGGGGAACTAGTCCTCTTTGTATGAAAGCATAGTTCTTGTCCTCATTAGGATGCCAGCCCTAGGGTTGATGCATTGCACTAGTAAAACTAAACCACACTATAGCTTGCTGAAAGCTTGGCTTCATTCTAATGCAGCACAGAGGAATGACTTGTTCTGGTACAAAAAAATCCAAGGATAGCACATGATTAGATTACAGTGGTGCAAAAATCTTGCATGTAGACCTTGTGAATTTTCAGGCATGATCATGTTGTCCATACATTTTTTAAAACGTTCCAGTGCATTTTTCTTTCACTTTATGGATGTTGTGGGTTGTTTGCAGCACTAGCTTTTAAATTGCTGGCCCTTCAGATTCCAAAAATTACTTCTAACTTATATATTTCATTGTCAATTGCTAGTACAGAGTGTTCCGTGAAGCCAGTTTCACAGGTTCAGTGCCTGTGAGTCAAGGAAAAACCATGAGAAGGATTTTAATCCTAAACCTTTTTTTTTATTCCACGTGTTGGTTTGGTTTTTGAGTCTTGAAGCTTCAGATTTTCCAGCTTATACCTGCAATGTTAGTTGCTGAAAATCTCTTCATTTTAATTAAAACAAAGCTGAGAATCCCACAATCGTAAAAGGTGATGCTTGAAAAAAAAAAAAAAAATAACTGCAAGATGAAAATGATGAAAATGGAATTGGTGACTGTATTTAGTTTAGCAGTAAACCTAGCAGCAGTGCGAACTATGTCTCCATTTTAGCTCTATGGGTATTTTCCTGCTGCTGGTATTATCACCAGAGACAGAAAATGGTTCAAGTACAAGATGGGTGGGTAGAGTGGGAATGAAACCAAGCAGCTGCACCCATTGCATTGAAGTAATTTTATTTTAATCTGATCTCATCAGTATTGTGCTAATTATATTTTATGTAACTACATTCTAGATAAACAATATATAATTATTAGCAAGAAGGAAAAATTGTTCACTAGAAAATGGGGGCAGAGGGGTTTATTTTTATATCTTAAAACAATCCAGAACTTACTCCACACTAAAAACCATGGAGCTTTAGCATCTGAGACTCGTATTAAGTCTCATCACCTTAAGAAAAGAGAATCCATGTAGGATAGTAATGACAGGGTTCTGCAGCTGCACGAATCCCTGTATCTTCGCCACCTCTCGCGTCTTAGCAAAGTGCTCCTGTAGATAAATTACCTTGTTAAAGACCGTAGAAAAACTTTATTTACTTACATGTTCCATTAAGGGGCTTTTTCTTCTATTCTTGATAAAATTCCTATGGATTTTTCCTTCGGTTATAAGCTTAGGATCTAGCAGAAAGTAAGTTGAGTGGTGTCAGGGCTTTGTTCCTCTTAAGCCAAAACACATGATGGAAATAGGAAGAGATACCTTCAGATGTGGGTGTCGTGTCTAACAGTCATTTAAAATACAGTAAAAAAAAAACTTCTGCTGACTTTGCTGTAATTAAAATAAATCCAAGTATCATATTGACTGCGAGAGGAAATAATTAATGGCTTGAGGGATTCTAAAAGTTGTATTACTGATTCTCAGTAATTATACGAAACTTTTCTATTGAAAGTGAGATTTTTTTTTCTTAAAAAACTATAGAAATAAAGGAAACTCTTAGTACATAAACAATAAAATTCCCAAATAGAGTAACTAGAAATTACATGAAAGGTCTGAGCTGGTTAATGCTGTATACACAGAGGAAGTAGGGATGACAAGCTCCTTTGGTATCTCAGCCTAGCTCCTGGAAACCACTTTTTTATTAGCGTTAACTTCAGCAGGTCTCAGTATTTTGCTAAGACCTTAGCAGGACTAAAAATGCCTGGAAACAACACTCCCCCAACACATGACTTCAGATTTCCAAGGTCTGAGCTCGCTTTACAACAACATGGCGGTTCGCCACAGTATTGCTGAAATTGGGTAATTTCTACAACGGGCTGAAGATCAGTCAAAGAAACTGGGAGGCAGAATTGGGTGCTGCCAGGGGCTGTACAGGGCATCGGTGCTGACCATCGCTGGTCCTTATCTACTGTCTTATGCAGCGGGCACGCTACAACCAGCTGCCAGGAAACCAGATGAGAAGCTATTCTGCTTACTGAGGGGGGAACTATCTCTCTGGCTTTTGGTGTCTGAGAAAGGACTGAAGGGAAAGAACGTGGAAAAGCCAGCAGCTCCTATGTGAGGTGGCACTTCTCAGAAGGTGTATCAAATAACTAACCATCAGGACTAGTACGATGAATGCTGAAAGGTATATTAGCACAGGTTAAAGGTCCAGAGGAGTAACTAGTATCAGCACACAATTGAAACCACATATAGTCTGGCC